CACCCCATATCTCCCCCCCCCCCCCCCCCCCCCCCCCCCCCCCCCCCCCCCCACCCCAAAAAAAAAAAAAAAAAAAAAAAAAAAAAAAAAAAAAAAAAAAAAAAAGCGGTCCAATTTTTTTTTTTTCGTCTTCCTTCTTCGCGTTTCTCGTTTCTGCTTTAACCCCCTTTTGGCGTTACTTTGCCCCTTTCCCTGAGACACGTAGGATTGAGTCTGACCCGTCTTAGTAGAGAGGCCACGTGGAAGCTGAGTAAGAATGCAAGTAAAGTAAGAAATTTTTTTTTCCCGGGGCCTACCTATACTTCAACGGCCGAAAGAAGAGACATGGTGCGACCAGTCTTTGTATTGATGAATTCATTACTAAATTCAAATCATCTATGTAAGCGTAGGTAGAGTCTGGCCAGAACGGGGAGCGAAAGAAAAAAAAAGTAGGTAGTCGGTCTAGCATGCTGCCGATCATAGAATACATACTTAGAGGAAGGTATATGTCGACGTACTACTACTTAATTTACTATTGCTAGGTCCAGTTTTACGCTGTGTAGTCAGATCTACGTGATACAGAATCTGCGCAGGCTACGGTCCCGTCAGCCTAGATCCCAGGCTGCATATCCATCCACGTTGATATTAGCCGCCATACCCGACCGTTCGGACACAAGTCTTTTTTCATACACGTCAACGCAAGACTTTTTGACTGTGGCATAACACGTAGTTATCGAGAGTCATGTTACTCAAAATGCACGCCTTCGTCCGTACCCAGCAACGGACCGCGCGTCGTACAGGGCGTTTGTTGGAGGAGTGCCGTTGGCACAAGAGATGCGCTGCAGTATTAAATCGGCGCTTAGTCTGTTACACCGGTAGGATCCGAAACTAATCTGAACCATGCTCAATCTGGTGCAAAGTCGCGTGGGCTAGATTGAGACATGAGAAGATCACACCGCTGATATTCCTTTCGAGGCCTTGAGGGGAGAAGAAAAAAGGACAATGCAGCTCGAGGATCTCGACCGCTGGCCTAAGCTAGGTATGGCTGCTGTTTTGCGGAGGATCCCCCAGATAGACGAGTGCTGCGGACCGCACTGTACAATGAATGGCACCACTAATGAATGTCATCACCCCAGGTTACACCGTAAAGACTGGGTTAGATATACCGGTATATATATATATATATATATACCTACTATACGCAACTAGTATAACTCCAATGCGAGAATCGGCGTGTTGCGGCGGCGACAGGCTAGTGGCACATCTCGCTCGATGGGAGTGGGTTTACCGGTTTATACAAGCAGCATGCAGGTCATGCGATTCGTGGCACAATGTTCCTCGACGGCAACCTCCTATAGAGGTGATCAGTATGCACATGGCATCTTGTTATAGGACATGAATGCACTTTCCGCAGTCAGAATTAGTATGATGCGCTTCCGGAACCATCCGGAAGCGCACCCTGTTAGCATCCCATTCCGTGAGCATTACGGCAGTAATACAAACATTTGCGTAGGGCTGAAGAGAGTCGGAAAGTCGTGTAACAGAAAGACATTTCACGACGCATGTCAGAGTAGCAGCCAACGTTGCCAAGATATTGCGAGAGATGGAAACAATGGTGAGTGGCGGATAGGCGTGGTTGGAGAGGGGTCGATAACGGCACCGGTCTGACACAATCGCGGGACGTAATACATGGCAGAAGAGAATATGGAGACATTTAGTCTGTTCCGGGTTCGCGATAGGTGGCTTGAGATGCAGGAGTATTGAACTAAGTGACTGCTTTAAAGGTAGGTCTTTGCGAGATTGCATCAGGGATCGGCCACTTTCGTCTAAGTACTCTGACTATCGACTCGAATGCTTCACCGACATCTAAGCCACCTATTAATGAGTGAATAAATGGGACGCAGGTGCCAATGCTGTTCCATCGGCGACAGGGATGAGCGGGTAGTTTAGTGGCATCGGCTTAACTTGCTCTAACTCAACAGGCGAAGCCAGAAGTGAGTGAATGGGCCCCAAAGTAGACCAGAGAATTTGCATTAGGATCTCGGCTATCTTGGGTTCATACAATATGCCGGGTACTATTGTATCTTGATGAGTTGTGGTTCGAGGACCAGTCAAATGCTCAGCGAATCACCAGGTCTAACGTCCTACATGCATGATTGGGTCCAATGGTTCTGGGCGTGCCCCCCCTATACGATAACAGGAACGATCTATGTAAAGTAGGTATCAGGTATAGTAAGGATCAGAATCGTCCAAGGGATAGCTGTTCGAAAGTATGACATTCATATTCTCAGCTAGCCGCCCTCGAAGGCTGGCTGCTGCAGGAGGGCCAAGACATCACCTAGAAATGTAGCCCGCGCCTTGCTTGACCGGCCAATCTGCATAATGAGCGTCAGTGACGATATCATTGTTCCGACTCCACTAGTTGAATGCAGATAGACAATGCAGCGGGCATAAGAGAGAGGTGAGTGCCATCGACCGAGGCAGCGGATGTATCCTGGCAGCTGAATAAAGGCGCAATTTGTGCATTAAACAGAGAGTTACTCCGAGACTGATAGGCAGATGTATGTCACGTCCGCGAGGCTTCTCGGGTCCGAGGTTCGGCTACGGTGCACTTCGCTTTGCTTGGCACAATGCTCAGTGACCAACATCTGACATCTGCTTTGGTAGGTTGGAACGAGAGAATCGGCATCGAGGGCTAGTGGCGATGTGTGATGTGTGATGTTTTGGCAGCATGCCACCCTGCTCAGCTCCTTCAGGGAGAGACGCGCAATCAGCGTAAAGACGTTTCTCGTTCACCAAACCTGCCTACAGTACACTACTTATATGTCCATTCACTGGCCATGACCTCAAAACAGCTAGTTAACAACAGTCAACTGAAGATCCACAAAAGCTTAATCAGACAACGCCAACCGTAGCACGCGGGCGGTCGTTCACTGTCGCAGGGTGTCGATCGTAGCCATGTACATACATACAGCTGTACTCCATGTTGTGACACAATTGGTTCATCTACTTGTAGCCTGTGTGCATGCTTCAAAACAGGAGGCCATGCGGCAAGAAGGATACGGAATGGTCGGGCGGCTGAATTGGAGATGCAGCGTACGATCAACCGTGGGGGCTAGATCGGGTTCTCGAAACAACGCCAGCTCGGTGAGCGACGCGCTGATGGCTTGCGGAGCAAAGCTGCCTACACTACCCACTACCTACCTCACAGTAGCTCAGCCGGCAGGCATTGCTAGAGGTTGGGGGCCTCGGCTTTGAAGTGTGCCAGTACGGTATCCTGGTGCCGCGTACAGTTGCTGCGCGGCTTTGGCCGGCAATGTATGGCATTTTCCGCCCAGGAGCCAGTCCATACCCACACAGAATGGCTATCTACGAAGTAGGTAGGTAGGTAGGTAGGTAGGTAGGTAAACCGTCCTTGGCTACGATAGTACGCGTCATGAGCATTGCCAGTTCAGCCGGGGGTTGCTGTCAAGTAAGTAGCATGATTGCACCTGTATAGGACTATTTTGCATCCTAGGTACGTCAGGTGAACCGGCGACCTGGCCGCCACGCTCGCTATGTCGGAGTCCTGCTGCATGTACAAGTAGACAGCTCTAGTGTGCCAAAGAATTGGTGTACTAAGATCGAGTAGGTACTAGATAAGAACTACCTTAGAACAAGTAAGCCTAAAGTGAGTGTCTGTGTAGGCAACCATACTGTACATGTACAGATGGCCCAATCTATCTTTGTGATGAGGATCTGTGAGGGTGAGGCTGTGATTTTTTATTTTTTTTTATTTTATCTGGGACTGATGCCTGCTAGTCTACGGTACCTCCTGGGTGGTGATGACGACAAAGGGCACTTACACTTGCTTAGTACAACCAACTAAGGTGCCATGATGGGCGAGACCAGGACGATCAAAGGACTCGGCGGTGTTTCAGGATATCGAAATAACGGACGACATGATTGGACAACCCGAATTAATTTTACTGAAAAGAAAGGCCAATCAATCGGCACGCTGCGGGCCGGGGACTGGTTGCATCGATATTCAACGGTGAAGAAGAAGAAAAGACGCAGGGATAGGGATGCTCAACTGCATTTCCTGCGACGATTTACATTACCCACCCACTGTGCCTGCCTACATATAAGTATGTGTATATACTTATGTACTTGGTTTTCATGTATTCGCTGAAAGAGTGGTACAACCAAGCCGTTGCTGACAAGAGCATCGCAACCCCTCAAACACGCCACTTACGTGTAGATACATACCTAGTACCTGTGCAAGTAGTACATACCGGTATATAGGCACATCAGGTACATGTGTCACAGGTAGTTGTTGGAGATATGCATATATACTTGATTAGTACTGTAGGTATTGAGCAAATTGCTGGGCCATGATGAGCTGCCTCCGTGATGTAGCCAAGTACCAATATTTACACGGTGGTATTATTTGTCCGCACTATGTAGATGCAGTGTTTTGCATATGTAAGCTCTTACTACATGTGGCATTGCTATTCAAATAAGATTGAATGAGGTATGTAGAGAAGGACGAGAGAGAGAGAGAGAGAAATGAAGTACTATAGGTAAGAAAACACAGGACAGGGAAAAGGGCCGATATTTCGGTAAAAAAGTTACTTTCCTGGCGCGAATTGGGTAATTGGGCCGGTGGGAGAAAAGGGTGTTTCTGCAAGCCTCTCCGCGCTCTTACATAAGTACCTACCTACCTACATATACATCCTCACACCATTCATCATGAACATCATCATCATCATCACACAATGAATGTCCTCCGTGTCATCTACGGGTAGCCAGCGAGCGAAGAGATTGAATGTGCACCCTACTGTATCTATCCACTTTACCAGGGTACACTTCTCAAACAGACGCACAAGCCTGTCTAATCTCCCATTACCCGTGCAGACCCGTCATCCCCCATCCCCCCCAATCGATTCATGTCAAGGCGAGTGAGGGTGAATGAGACCGGCCTCGCCGCAATCTTTGGTTATCTTGGTGTCTTGCCAACTCGGCCGTTATTCCGGTGTTCCGTTTCCTCGGCTGCCGTCTGTTCCACTGCCCCACGCAACCGTTTGCGTGCCCCGTTCCTACTTAGACTCAATGTGGGGGAGCGGAGAGTCGCCGGTCCTTTTTCTGTCCTTACATAGGTAGTAGATCTACGTGTATCCAGTGTACCTATTCTACAGCCGAGAGATTGTGGTCAGTTGCCTACGTTTCATCCATTGACGTGGTGATGAGATTAAGTAAGTAAGTAGGTAGGTAGGTAGGTAGGTAAGGTCTGGCAAGATCTGGCAAGGTACTGTAGTAGTAGTAGACTGCGTTGGTACGTTTGTTTGCTCTGCTTGACGTGCTGTCGATCCTCTGTCAGGGGAATTAAGGGTTGCGCATGTTAGTGTAGTTAGTCCCATGCGTTTGGGGCCAAGGATGGCCTCTTACTATTACCAGATACTACCTACTGTTCGGTAAATTGCAAGATAGATAGATACCTAGGTATGCAGGATCGTTCGTCATGTCGCGCCCCTGACAACGGCCTGACTAGCAACTTGTTCTTTGTCACCCAAATGTACGGCGGGTATGTAAGGAGAGCTGGCTGCATCGTGTGCTGTATGTCGGCAGTGTATATAGTGGCGTCTTACGCACACCACTGCCCAGAGCGCTGCCCACCTCTTGATATAGGTATGTCGACAGGTAAATATGTGATTACTCACTTCCTACCTCTAGTCCATGAGCTAGCTATCTTTGTAAGAGTGTCGGGGGTGCGACATATACTACTTACTTAATATGTACCTATACATACATGTATGTATGTATGTGTATTTCGATTTGAATCGAGGAGGTGTTACCAAACTCCCGGTAACTGTTAGTCAACCTCGGAAGGCAATGAGCGGCAAATAGGGTAGATGTACAGTGCTGTTGACAGTGCATTCGCATCTAAAGCCATCTGACATTATCAGTGACATACCTACACTTCCCGTCACCATACTACCGTACCGTACAGTAGACTGCATGTACCGGAGGCTAGGTACTTGCTGTATAGGTATTCTGATGCTAGGTCGGAGGTACATCTACGTAGACAGCCAGTTTATGTACCTCCCAGGTACTTGAAACAAACGGGTTGATAAACAGGGGTCTGACTCCACTATAACGAATTAGAAGCGGCTTTTTTTCTCTCCCTCCCCAGGGAAGTAAAGTTGTCGTTCGGCTCTGCTTTCTTTCACGCTAGGTACTTACCTAACTACCCCCTTCTCTATTTTAGTGTTTCTAGTTCCCGCTGTGGGACTCTTCCTGAGGCTGGCTGGGCAGATGCACTACCACAGCACCACCACCATACTTACCACAAGATGAGCGAAGACCATCTCCGTCCCTAGGTATGCTCAGTTTAACTAACCAGTGAATCTTAATTTGCATGTCCATCACCCACACTTTGGTTGCTGCCGGTACCGCCTGCACCTGCCATGCAAATAAGTTGCGGCCCACTGCTACTATATGGTGCCAATCGCAATCATTTCGAAGACCCTGTTGCAATTGCGAGAGTAAAGAACTATGCTAACTAACATAGCAAGGAGAATTTGAGCATCCATCCCGCAAGGTGCCGTGTATTTGGGCTCGCCTGCCAGACTTACCACTCCTTTGACTCCTGACTCAAGAGGTTGTTGGCCCTTGGAGCTTCCGGCAATCAACTGGCTCTTGCTACCTTGCCGAAGGCTCGCAAACAACTATCCCACCCAACCATCCCCAAACTAAAAATCAAAACGAACATGGCGACTTGTAACGAGCTGTTCTCACAGGGAGCAGGTAGGGCAACAAGTAAATCATCCGCCGCCGCCGCCTCCCGAATCGAGGCGGAAAGAAGATAGGAAAATAATCGAAATGTCGAGATGTCGAAATGTCAAAAAGTGTCATGCTGCCGGCAGATCCATCCGTCTTTGCCAAACGCCACCCATGAATGTTCCCCCACCTGACGCTCGCCTAGGCATGAGGACGCGGGACCAGAATGAGCATCTCTAGTCACCGCTCCCACAAGAACTGTTCCATGATAAAAACATCCGTGTCCGGGTATCCTAGCCGTACTCCACAATCCCATTTCTCGCACTCTTTCGTGAACCTCGTTTGTTTAGTATACCGAAACCATTACAGAAATAATGCCATGTCAGTTTCGCCGTATGCTTCACACATTGTATGTAGAGAAAAACCCATGCAGCTTAAAAAACTCCAGACCTCAGATCTTTCCGTGTTCGTTTCCGTACGCCGTCGTAGCCAGCTCCAACAGCTGGGTTGAGTTCAAATGAAACGAATTACAAAATACTTTTCCTCTCTCTGATGCGGCCGTCTGAATGCAAAAGTAGAGGCGCGAAGCCACGTCACCATAAATCCACATGGCGCCGTACACAGCTCGAGTCATCTCTTTTTTTTCCGCGTATAAATTGGCAGCGCTCGAAAGACCCGTCACCCAGACTGAGAAAGAGGTGTAGGGTATACGCCGGCCGACGTTGGTCTGCCCTCAAACCGGTTGCCATTTCTAGGGTAGTACGCAGGACCGGCCTGATATAGGATGCTTGGAAGGGTATTGTCGTACTCATGCTTCACTTTCGACATTGCTGAATCGACAGCAGCAGTTGTTGCAGACATCATGGTATCTGGCTCATGGCGATGGGGAAACATTTCAATGCCGTGGCGGGGCTCAACCCCCTCATATATCGTCGAAGGGTAATACTGATACTCCTTAGCTGTATCGATAGCTTTGGCCTCATCTGCAGGAATCATTGGTTCCAACCCGATATCAGGATGGCGAGTTGTGCCATAGTGCCCGGACCGGGGCTCGTAGCTTGTTTGGTACGCGCTGGAAAGCAGATTGGAAGAGCCAGTCCCATAGTCACCTGGAAGTACCTGGGAGCTTGAATAACTCCCCATGCCACTCGACCCGCCTGGACCACTACTTGTACTGCCCCTTCTCTCCGTTTGATAGTGTCCTGGAGAACGACCGCGAACAATCATCTTTGCTGATTTTCGTTCTGCTATTTTGATATATCCCTCGCCCGGGTTCTGCGAGCCCACGTCAACGTAAAGTTCAACCAGCAAGTGATAATACTGTTGTGCGGCTCTTCGCTTGCCATTATTCGCTGTAGCCTGTTTGAATTGGATTCGTTCAAACGTATGTTCCGTCGCATAGGGCCCTTGTCCAGTTTGCCCATACCCACTCTCATAGATTGCCCTGGAGCTACCTGCCATAGAATGATCCGAGTACATGCCCAACGGGTTCGGCGCTTGCTGATGAGGCTTGGGTAACATTTTCACTTTCTCTGGCTTTGCCGTTGGGCCTTTATCTCTCTTGGGCGTGTGTTGCACGAGATCGATATTCTGAGAGTCGCTTTCGGCTACCATAGCCGAGATACTCATCGCAAACCCGAACACTTGATAGGAGGTAGTAGATCCATTTGCAATAAATTGCATATTGGCGTTAGGGTAGTGGGGAGTCAGGCCATAGGAGCAGACGCACGAGAAGTAATTTCGACGGTAGCAGGTCCATTCTCCATCCGAGAGAAAGAATCCCTTGTCAATAATGGCTTGGATGTCAACTTTGATGGGTGAGCCGGCTCCGGCTGTTGCGTCCCCATATACCAAAGCGCCGTGGGTAACTACAGGCGAGAATGGAGGAGTGTTTCCCGCCTGATTCTTGCCATATGGATGAGCTCCCTCCATCCTTACCGGGCTGGTGTACCCAATACTTGGGCTAGGTGTTGGCGAGAGGGGATGGCGTCGCAGCGGAGTCGCGAACGAAGGAGATCTAGATATGTGGTCCGTCGTCCTTATAAACGACGGTCGCGCCCCTCCGTAGACGTCTCTGGTATATCCTGGATTGGGCAACGCAGTGACGCGAGGGGCATGTGCCATACCCGTAGCAGAGGTGCTGTTGCTAGCTTGGTGAGCATGATGAAGACTGAAGAGGTACGCGTTTGTACGCGCTGGTATGCTTGAAACAAAAGATCACAGTAGTCATTACTTACTTAGAGCCTAGACGGGATCTAGGATCAACCGCACCAGCGGGGAACAGCTGTGAAGCCGGAGGAGGATAGTAATGCCCAGTGTCCGGAGAATATCCTGCGGTGTTGTTAAGTAGAGGCGCTGGGAAACCGCTCAATACCGAAGACGACTGAGACTGGGTGTCCAAGCTGAGCGACGTGATGGAAGGCTCTTGGTTGTATCTAACCGCAGACGGATCAGCAGGGGCCCGCGAAGAGGTGAAAGAAAGCTCGTGTGCAGCCCGAGGCAGCTTGCGCAACTGCACTCCTACACAACGCACAACACACAACACAACACAATGCCAACTGTCTAAGTGTGACGGAGCAGTAGTGATACTAACAGCAGTTGCCGTCATACAAGGGAAACAGGATGGCGGGTCAGGTCGGGAACAGCCAGTAACAAGTACACGCCCCTAATCCACCACCCATAGTCCGGAGTCCAGAGTCTAAAGCTCTTGAGCCCAGCCAGCGTCCAGGGCCCAGAGGCCAGCAAGGGCCGGGACAGCCACAACGACGACTTTTAATTGTGTTGCAGCATTTGCCCCGGTAAGGGCAGCCACACCCTTGCTCCTTGTCGCCGCGCAGTAGCAGCACCACCAACTATAGCAGTATATTGTGGCCAACGAGTACCAACGAGAATCAAAAGGAAAAGGGTACGGGAAGTGCCTAATCGGTACAACACAATGTGTGCCCAATTTGCAAGCAAACTCGGCCAGTACACGACAAGGCAGGAGACTATACAAACTTTTTGTACATGGATGAAGAGAATTGGCCCAGTGACTACAGGAATGTTTCTTTTCTTGGTGTTCTTTCTGCCTTCCCTTTGAGCATGAAGAAAAATACAGCAATTCACAACAAATTAGAGAGATTACTTACCGCATGTCAGCTACAGCCGGAATATCAAGATATGATTCTAGCCCGTTGCAAGTGGGCGGCGAAGGCTCGAAGTCCTGTTGGAGGCGCAAATAGATATCGTCAGTTCATGGCACAGGCTTGGAGATAGCAAAAATAAAAACCAAAAGCTACTACAATGTTCCAGTGACAAGTAATAGCAAGGACGGTGCTGGCGTTTTGCGTCGAGGAAGTAAATAGACGAAGGGGCGCTGATGCTAGCTAGGAGTACTGTCTTCCGTAGATTTTGGTTCTAATCGCTGGCACTGTCAACGCTTCTGTTTCCCCGTCTTCCCCGTGCAAGCTGCAACCTCAGCCAGGCTACGGCATTGGTGGCCGGGAAAGGGGAGATTTAGCAGCCCGTAGAACCTGGACCTGCAAAGGCTAGAGTCAGACAAAGGTCAGCAGTCGTTCGTCCGGACGAATTGAGGGACATGTGGTGGTGATGTACGCCGTGGTTATGCCTGGTGTGTAAGTAGTTTAGGAGGTATGTATGTATGTAAGTAAGTCTGTATGTCTGTCTGCCAGACGGGAGGAAAAACCTTGAAGTGTGTGCAAGGAGGTGCAAGGAGTGCAAGGAGGACAGAGAGGAGCATAGGACGGGCATCCCAGGGACTAGGGTCTAAGTTGAAAATCAGCAGCAGGGTGGAATTGAACGGCACATATGTCAACGGAATGTAACAAGTACAAATTTAGCGGCACCACCAACCAGCACCGGCGAATGGGTGAATGAGATGACAAGCCAGCGAGTGTTTGTGCTTTTGTGCTGGTGGATGCCTCCCCTTCGTCTCGGTTCCCAAAGCAATGGCAACGGGTAGATCGAGGCAGCAGACGTACATGCTTAGTATGGTACTTGGTGTAGGAGAGGTACTGGGGTACGGACGAGGACGAGGACGAGGACGAGGTAGAGGGAGAGGTAGAGGCAGAGTACATAGGTACATAGTGGTTGGTGCTTGTGGTACCTAGTACTATCATGGATGCCAGTAGGGAGCCACCGCCCAGAGGCAGAGACTAAGGCAGAGACTGAGGCAGTGGCAGCGGGAACGAGGCAGGCAGTGTGCTGCAGCAGCACAAAGTACGTAGTGCGCAGCGTGCAGCTTGCAGAGTGCAGTGAGCGAGAGGAACTCGGCGAGTGAAAGGTACATGGCCGGTACAAGACGTTGTGACACAGCATTAAGCATGGCGGCGCAGCCCACGCGATTCTGGGTATGGGAGAGGAGAGTGGAGGGCCAGGAAATGGAGAATTCGCGCGCCGGGAGAGCCCCCAGGCCCCGAGCGGGTACATATATATACATATGCCTATACGGGACGCCGGAGCAGCAGGTACTATAGGCAGGCCGTCTACTCGGACGAGGTGTACAGCAGTGGCACCGTACATGTACCGGTACAAGGCATGGAGTGTAGGTACTTGCGGGATGAGTATATGCTATGTATGTAGGTAAGCAGCCAGGAGGAACGCCATTCTCGATTGCAGCACCGAGAGGCAGGTACGCTTGTGTGTTAGCTCCCCTAGGCGTGCATGGGGGAGGTCCTGGGAGATCCTGGGAGGTCTCCACTCAGGGCAAGCCTCATACAGTACGCGCGAGAGACGAAGAGAGTGAGAGTGAGAGTGAGCGTGAGGTGAGCGTGAGATTACGAGAGGTAGCAGAGGCGGGACAGGAGGGAAGCGGGCCGCTTGGAATGCAATACTAGGTACAGGCTCTGTACAGAGGCAGCAGCAGGCTGGTGCTGCTGACTGACTACCTGCTAGGCCAGGGAAAGGGAAATTGAAACATGGGGAAGTGGTATCCAGGCAAAGAAACCATGCTACACTACAGATAGCTAGATATGTGTGTGAGTGTACATGGCTGGATGTACGGCTGTGACCCATGCTGTAGCGCGGCCGTATACTGTAGGTACTGGGTGTGTGTGTGGTCTATGTCTGTATCTCTGTAAGGCAAAATAGTGCAGGCATGGATGCGAGGGTAGTGTGATGGAGAGGAAAAGACAACTTGGCATATAACGTCTGGTGATACATGATGTAAGTCTTGGAAGTCGGTTTGTTCACAAGGGGCCGGTGAAAAAAAGACAGTGACTCGAGCTGTCTGATAAGGGGGGATTCGCTATCGCTCTCTCGCCCTCTTAATTGAACATTCATAAAACGTGCGCAACGCTGGTTCTGCTACCTTGGGCTTCGGCCGTTTCGTCCGTTCCTCAAAGAGGGGAGAGACAGACAGAGCGAACGCGCGCGTCAAACTCGATGGCTTAAAAAAAAAAAAAAAAGAGCCAAAAGAAATGTGACAACACCGGTGTCGAAAAGCATCACGGCGTGGCGAATAAGAGCTACGTAGCTCCAGACCCTTCAAGAGGTGGGTGCCTGGTGCTGTAGATACACCCTGCAGCCCCAAGGTTGTGCGAAATGTAGATAAATGTAGATGGGTTCCATAGATGGCACCCAGTGCATGGAAACTCGACAGGGGAGCAGGTGTTTAGTGGTAATGGGGAGTTCGACGGGAAAAGAAAGCAAACCCAACTTATCACACTCACATTTGGCTAATTGTTTGGTCGACATTACGCACTCTGGCGGTTGTTGCAGCTGTAGTCGAAGTTGATGCCGACTGCCAATCTGAAGGATGTGCTCGGCTCTGTAGACGGCTGTTGGATCCTGACATCTGAATTCTGTGTCTGCTTGTAGTTTTCGCTGCTACCGCGCTTCCCTTTCAGCATCACCGGTGCGTCTCTTGGCTCCAATTGGCTGCCGATTAATTAAAGATGCCTGCGTCCTTGCAGACCGGTTGGGCGAAACTGCCACTCCACCTTCTGGCTACAGTAAAGACAATCTCACCCGGAAATGGAGAACTCTACTGTAGTATCGCTAGGTAGAATAGCTACAAGGTGAAAAGAGCATCGAGGAGTAGAATGAACCAGAAAGGAAAAGAGGGGAAAAAGTAAAAGAAAATATAAAAAAAAACGGCAAGAGTAAGTGCAGATAAACTACAGAGTTTTGTCAAAGTAGAAAGTATATATACCTTGTTATCGAGGGGTTGAGGATTCATTCGGTGAGCCTCTGGTCCGGGTGGCCAGAGCTGCACCTCAGTCTCGCTCGGCGTTGGATGTATGAGCAGGCGTGACAACGGTGCCGAGGATGATGCGTCAATCGAGGCTGTGTTGGATAACAACGGTTGTTGATACCGTTTCTTCTAGATGAGCATCATGGTCAGCTTCGACTCCAGTTGCAGATTCAGCCATCAGCTCAGCGCCTGTTTTTACATCGGCTGTTTCGGCTGTCTTTCCAAGTAATAAACGGTTATCTTGACGTGAAAGTGGTATGGGATATATGCCTAGGCCAATGCTTATCCGCTTACTAGACTGCCCACGAACCCAGCTCATCGTAAAATACGTCGAGTGCGATTTATGAGCCAAGCATGCACCATGATCCTAAGAAACCGCTAATCGGTAGCCATGACCCAAAAACCAGCCCTATGGAGACGGGGACATGGGGGGTATGTGTTGTGGTGTATGGGGGGGTGTGAACGGGTGGGAGAGGCTAGGGACCAGATCGGATTTTGCAGGTGCCGCGGCAGGGTATGGAGACAGGGAATAGGATTAAAGGAAGTCGATGGAACAGATCCAAGTCCTCCCGAGAAATAGGATGATGAAGAGAAACCCATTTGGGTGCAAAAGTGTGAAGATGCTGTTGAAAGATATCCAGCGGCGATGACAGCAACAGATAGAGAGAGTAGTGGTTAGACATGCGGAGGAGACTCGGCCAAGGCAAGCTCAGGGGTTACACCGACCTTAGAGGATTCGGAATCAGAGTCTGTTGTTACTGTCACCATTACAGACGTGGGTGCCAAGAAGGCGATCTCCAATTGCACTGTCACATAAGCCCCTGGTGATTCTCTGACCAATTCAATCTCACCGTTAGCTCGCAGTCCCAATCAACACTGTAGAGTCCACGCCACTGACACCAGTGGCACAGAGTATGGGTAGAGGGATTCAAGAACGGCCTGTGCAGGCGAACACTAGGTAATACGGCCGAGACCAGCAACTTTTGACGTCGCCCTTTCCCCACGAGGTGAGCGATGAAGACGGCCGCGGCGACGAGCATGGTGCCGGAAGCAGGCCGGACACGGCGCTAATCGGCACGAGCAACGTCCGAACAACTGCTCGGCCGTCGATGTGCTCGACGCTTCCAAGCTCGAGGAATGGCGAGGCGTGACGCCCACCCGGGTACATAAACAGCGAGGTATTCGAGCGGCACGCGGGTGAGGCTCGCATGTGCACTGTTCCGGTACCCGAGCTCTGATCGGCTGTGTGGCCTAGTCTGCTGGACCATAGTGGCGCCTGCACAACCTTCCCGATTGCAGTATACCCCCGATGTGATCCCACCCGCCCCCCATCGGAAAGGAGCCACTTACACGTAGCTCGCACCGGACAGCTTCTCTGGCTGAGCCTAGGACGTCAGTCAGCATGGCACATCAAATACGACCCCGAGCTTTTGCGGCAACTTTGGCTTTGCTAAGGGACAGTGGTTGGCCCGTGCTGCCGAGAACTACCAAGTCCCTTCTGGCTCGTTTACGATGGTGGCGGTGACCTCGCTAAACATGGCAGCATTGGCAGGCGCAACCCAACGCATTTCCACGACAGCAGCCGCACCAAATGAGCCGTACTAGATGCATTGCTGTGGTTGCCACCAGAGCACCCGCATTCATGCGTAATTGGATAGGGGTGGGAAACGTACTGTTACCTTTATCAATCCACTCAGCAAGCTGGGTTTCAGGTTGTCTCCTAGCACAGGCTTTCGGTTCTACTAGAACCACCTCAAGGTCGCGAACAAACACTACAAGGTCCAAGACAAGTAGCTCTGGTATGGTGACATTGGCGTAGAGAAGCCTGCTTTCGTAATATTGTAGCGACCGCAGCTTGGTCAAGTAACGGAAAGGTTTCAGTAGTTGATCGCTTGGCGGGTGGTAAAGGTCCAGTGCGATGAGTTTAGAAAGAGCTCTATATATCCCTAATAAGAAGAGAGGTAAACGGATGTCCGAAAAGTTGGTTAAGATGATAGTTGTAGGAGAAAGAGGAAAGATGGGGGCGGTTTGGTTAAGAATATGGGAGGCTTAAAAAGACAAAGGTGAGGAGTTGTACAAGCCAATACGCGCGTGAATGAGTGACGTTGGGCTCTCCTCAAACCAGGGCAATGGAGGAAAAGGTAAGGTATCGGTCAGACTCCGGAGCTTGATAGTTCGAGACTAAGATAACCAAACCTCAAAGAGTTGGGAAGAAATCATGTGAGAAAGATCTATACCTTCTCCGGCACCAGTTGTCCTTTAGTAAATAGTCTGACAGTGGTTGTGCAATCTTGGTGGTTTAAGACAGAGCTATTGGCAGTTTCCATCCTGAGAAGGCTAGAGGGCTAGACTCACACTCGGTCTATTTTATCAGAAAGAGCCCGGGCTCGCCCGATCTCTGCCGAAGAGGTCAATAAACGCTAGTATGGACCTCTCGAATTGTGGACAGGCCGTAAGAAGGGGCCTTTGCATGTACGGTTGACCGGTGTAGTCCTAAGCACCCATCAGAGGCGTCAGCTGCTCTAAGCGGGAAAAGGGTGGGCCAAATGGTAGGCAGCGTAGGTCAACAAGAGTGAATTGTAGGGCGTTACAGGAGAGAAATAAATGACCCAAAAGGTGCAGTCTCCAGCACTGACACATCACAGCCTTTATTTCGCTATAAGTCTGAGATATAGGTACAATTTATACTTATAGGAAGGTTAACTCTCTAGGTACTGGTACTAAGGTCAGCGTCCTTGTGACGGTAGGTCATCGATATTGGGCCTTGAGAGCCAAAAGATCGCAGGTGAATAATTAACTACAGCGCATATGTACTCCTCCAATGCTCCCTGGACATGCTACTCTCTTCCTCTATAGGGATCTGGCTCAGTATCACAAAAGATCCTTGTATTCTTTTTTTTTCCCCATCAATATCTGATTGGAACCATGGCCACAGGGCTCCTGCATTCTCTAGGTCGGCAGTTCTTCAGTTGTCATGATCTAGTTATAACTTTTGAGATACAAGTCGAGTACATAGGATTCGACCAAACGTAGCGTCTCGTACTAGAAGCGTCCCGGACAGGAGAGAAATCCGCGTCCAGTATGCATCAACAAGTATGCAGCTATCCTCCGCTCAGTACATCTACGAGACGCCACCTACATTCGCTGGTAGTTGGCAGGGAGCCCGCCTGGTCGAGTGTACTTCGATGGACGGATGCTTGCATATTTTGCTTACGAGTTTCCCGTCGATTTCGCGGTTCCTGCTCGTCATTCGATCAAATTTACCCCCGCTAGTCGTCATACGTCGTTTTTTTACACATCTTCCGTCTCCTCCAACAGAATCGAACCAGTTAATATTATTTTCCCCTCTCTCCAGACGCTCTCATCGACGTCTGAGAACGGCACTCTAAGGCGGCGGAGGGACAAAAAAAAACCCCCCCAAACGAGCCAATGTCTATTCTTGGCTCGACGTGTGGAGAGTTGAAGTTGAAACTAGGATGGCTCGAATAAACTCTCATGCGGAGCTAATACCTGCCCACTCTATCCAGCACGTTTCAAGTTAGATGATTG